AAGGTTTGATGGAAAAGACTGGTAGAGAGGATCAAGGAAAGCAAGGAGAACACAAAAAAAACTTTAGAAGCATTCACAAGACCACTACAAAAACAAACAAAATTAAAAAATTCGAAACAACACAAAGCCTGAAATTAGAAATCCAGAAGATTAATACTAAGATTTCAGAAACGGACAATACATTGAAAGAGTAAAGGAGGAGATTCAAGGCAATGGAAGCCGGAATTAATAAGGTTGAAGATAAATCTCTTAATACTAGTCTGCTAGAATAAAAATCATAAAAAGACTCAAAAAATTCAAAGAAAACCTAAGAGTTATGTGGGATACCATGAAGAGGAACAATATATAGGTAATCAGAATTCCAGAACACAAAGAGACAATAAAAAAAACAGAGAAAATTGTATAAGAATTTTTGGAAGAAAACTTCCCTAACACCATGACAGACAAGAAGATGTACATACAAGAAGCTGAATGAACCCCAAACAGGATAGAGCCCAAAAGAAAGTTACCAAGACATATCATAATCAAACTCTACAAAACCAAAGACAAGGAAAGAATCCTGAGAACAACTTGGGAAAAATGAAAAAAATCTTCAAAGTAGAACCAATAACATAAAGAAAAGCTCTGATTTCTTCAGCAGAAACCACATAGGCAAGAAGGCAATGGAATGACATATCCAAAACTCTGAAAGAAAAGACTACCAACCTAGAATCATATACCCAGCAAAGCTGTCCTTCAAATATGATGGTGGAATTAATATGTTTCCTGATAGCAGAAATCACAGGAATTTTTAATGACCAGACCAACATTATAGAAAATGCTAAAGGGTGTTCTCTGGACTGAGAACCAACAATAGCAGACAACAATCTGAGATTACTATACATGACAACACCACCCAGAACTCAGTCCAGATACAAAAATATTAAAAAGTAAAACAAACCTACAAGAGTGAAAACAGGTAACCAGAGTTGTCAATTTATAATCAAGTCAACTACAAAGCAAAAAGAAGAAATAGTGCAGGTATATAGCTTCCAAAAGGAAACAAGTTAAACAGATTTCAAGATATGACAGACTTTTAAATAAGAGAAAATATTAAGAAATTACAGAATAACCTCAAAGAAAATTAATACATCTGTGCATCAAAATTCAAAAAAAGAAGAAAATCAGAAAGATTTTGCTAAACATTAGCACAATAGAAATCCCACAAATAAAGTGAACTCCGCAGAAAATTATGTGGAACAAAGAAACCTGGAACACCACAAAAAAAAAGCAAAAAAAAAAAACAGAAAAATGACAGCAATCAAAATTCATGCTTACAGATAATTACATTGAATATAAATGGATTAAATGCACCAGTCCAGCAACAAGTGAGAGCAGAATAGATAAGAAAACAGGATCCTTCAATATGCTGTATACAAGAGACACATCAAAAAGATGGAAACAGCTGAAATGCCCACAACAGAAGAATGGTCCAACAATCTTTGGTGCATACACGCAATGGAATACTACAAAACACTGAAGAATAACAATGAATCTGCGAAACACCTCACAACATGGATAAACCTGGAGGACTTTATGCTGAGTAAAATTAATCAATCCAATCACAAAAGGACAAATATTGCATGTGATTAACGCTGTAAAAAATTAAGAAAATATTTTCTTGATAAAAGAAACAAATCTATGATGGTTACAGTGGGAGTGGCGAGGGAAAATTATTCATGGACTAAAGGGTAGATGCATTTTAACATGGGTGACAGGGCAGGCAACATACAACAAGGGAAAGGACAGCAGAAGAAAGATGAGCATATCGGGATGTTAAAGAGAGTAGAGGTAACGACTGTTAACTGTTAGTACATGGATTGCACTTATTGTAATGAAGCAAAGTATAGGATTTGTTGAATGTATCTTCACTCAATCCATAATAAAAAGTAAAAAAAAAAAAAAAAAAAAGGAAAGAAAATCACCCAGATGTATCATAATCAAACTCTCCAGAATCAAAGACAAGGAAAGAATCCTGAGACAGTTGGGAAAAATGAAAAGTTTCTGTAAGAGTTAAAGTTATTGTAATAGTTAGGGTTCTGTGTCAACTTGACCAGGCCTGGATTTCCAGTGGATTAGCAGTTGAGATGTGCTTATTCCCACAGTGATTAAACCTAATACAGGCATAACTCTATGATAAGTAGCTATGAGCAGCCAATCAATATAAAGGATATTTTCTTGGGGGTGTGGCCTGTTCCCAATATAATGAACACTTGGAAAAGGCTCCCCCTCCTCTCTTCCGCTGGGGACCTGGGACTCTACAATTATAAGTCATTTCCTGGATAATAAACTTCGCTTTATATATATACATATATATGTTTCACTGGTTTAGCTTTTCTAGAAAACACAACCTAACACAGTTACCTAAGGAGCTCTGGTAGCATAGTGGTTACGAATCGGGCAGCTAACCTCAAGGTCAGCAGTAGAGAAAGATGAGGCTTTCTGCTCCCTTAAAGATTTACAGCCTCGGAAACCTTGTGCAGGGTCATTATGAGTCAGAACCGACTCCACGGTACTTAACAGCAACACACTTACCTACAAAGGAGAACCAACAAAATTAAACTCTGATTTCCCCACAGAAACCAGAGATAGCAATTTATAAGGATGACAACTATAAAGCAAAAGAGAGGGGAAAGTGTAGTTAAAGAACTTCCGAATAGCGAGGAAGTAGATTTCAAGATAAAACAGATTGTTTAAATGGGAAGAAATTAATAAATTACAGGGTACCCTCACAGAAAATTAATAAACCTTTACATCAAATCAAGAGAAAAGAAAACCATAGAGATTTAGTAGACGCTGAAACAACAGCAATGAATCCATTGACAAGAAAACATGCAAACAAAATGAACTCAGCAAAGAAAATTCTGTGGAACAAAGAAACTGGCAGCACCACAAAAAAACACAAAGGAAAATGACTAATAAATTCACAGCTATCCATAATGACACTGAGTGTCAATGGATTCAATGCACCAGTGAAGAGACAGAAAGTAACAGAGTTGACAGGAAAACAGAATCCTTTACTATGTGTCTACAAGAAACACACCTTACACGTAAAGACAGAAATAGATTACAAAATCAAAGAATTGAAAAATCTATAAAACAAGCTCAGAGAAGAGCTGACACCAATTCTACTCAAACTAATCCAGAACACAAAAAAGGCTGAAGAATTATCAAATACATTTATGAAGTGAGCATAACCCTCACACCAAAACCAGGCAAAGATATCTTAAAAAAGACAATTATAAACCAATATCCCTCATGAGAGTCCTGGTGTGGCACTGTGGGTTAACGTGCTGGACTGCCAAGTCAGTTAGAACTGCAAGGTCAGTGGTTCAAGCTCACCAGCTGCTCCTCAGAAACCCTATACAGGATCGCTATGAGTTGGAACCAACTCAACAACACTTAACAACAATCCCTCCTCATGAACATAAATGCAAAACTCTCAACAAAATTCTAGCCAACAGAATTCAATATTATCATAAAAATAATATAAGACCAAGTGGGACTCATACCACGGATGCAAGTATGGGTCAATATTAGAAAAACAATCAATGCAATCCACCACAAAAATAAAACAAAGGAAAAGAACCATATTAACTGATATGTAATAAGAGCATTTGACAAAATCTAACATGCCTTACTGATAAAAAACACTAAACAAAACAGAAATAGAAGGGAAATTTCTCAACATAATTAAGAGCATATACAAATTCAACAGCCAACATTATTTCCAATGGAGAGAAACTAAACTCATTCCCTTTGAGAACAGGAACCAGACAAGGATACCCTTTATCACCATTCCTGTTCAATATTGTGTTGGAAGTCTTAGAGCTGTAAGGCAAGAATGGGAAATTAAAGGCATCCAAATTGGCAAAGAAGTAAATATTTGCAGATTACATGATCTTACACATAGAAGCTCTGGTAGCGTAGTGGTTACGAATCAGGCTTCTAACCTCAAGGTCGGCAGTTCGAAACTACCGCGGTGGGAAAAAGATGAGGCTTTCTGCTCCCTTAAAGATTTACAGCCTCAGAAATCCTGTGCAGGATCACTATGAGTCGGAACCGACTCCAAGGTACTTAACAACAAACACATAGAAAATCCCAAAGACTCAGCAAGAAAATTTTTGGAACTCATTGAAACATTCATCAATGTGGCAAAAATCAGTTAGATTCCTTTACACTAATAACATGTGAATATCAGTCACCATGACTCTGAGACCAGAACTAAATGATGCCTAGGTACCACTACCAACTGCTCTGAAAGGGATCACATTTGGACATCCCAAATAGAATGGGTGAAAATGTGAAACAAAACTCAAAAAAAAAACGAGGCTTACTGGTCAAAGACTGGAGAAATCTGAGACTACAGCCTTCAGCCGTCCTTCAGCTCTATCATGGAACTCACCCTCCAGACCTCATTTTCAGCCAGGCATTGATAGGTATATAGGCTAGAAAACAACACTAGGAAGGTATGCTCACCATGGAATGGTCAATCATTCAAAACCAAGAGGGCAACATTTCCCTAAGGACAAAGTTGAGAAGAAGATGGGTGGAATGCAAACAGAAACCACAGAGAAGAAACGAGACAACTGTAGTTGCATGGAGGGGATTGTAATCATTGAGATAAAACAAAGTGTATGCTTTGGTTTTACACATTTAAATATACTTAAGAAACACTGGATTCAACCATGTGAATCGTTTCTGTATTATGGGACTTCTTGGAAACCTTACACGTTACTACATACTCCCAAACCTGTGTGACCACAGAGACCTTTTCTCACAAGACCTAGCAACATCCCCTGAAGCCCAGTTCAAAAAATTAGGAATTGTTAGAGAGCTTGCCCAAAATCACACAGCCAAACTCCAGTGAAATCAATTAGCAGTGAAAATGCACAAATCAATACAGTTTTAATTGTCCTTGAATTAGACTAAACTTGGCTTCATAAAACACCATTACTTACAAAGAGTTTATTTTTTGCTGCCACCATTATCCTGGCACCATCCGCTGACCAGGAACAACATTTCACTATCACTTCCATATCCTCTTGAGGCTCCTCTGAATTTAGGAAGAACTGCTTTACATTAATGCTTTTGCTCTCATTTGCTGATCTCACATCCCAAAGCTTCAAATAAAAAAGAAAAAAAAAAGTTTTTTAAACTCCAATCACAGCTCTAGGATTCCACCTGGAATAAACATTACATAAAATTATTCATTTTACCTAATGAGCTAAATGAGTTATTTTTACCGATGAATGTCTTTTTATGACTATTACTTAAGTACTCCCGGATCGTGGTGTGGTGCTGTAGGATAAGTCCTGGACTGCTAAGCTCGTAGTTCAAACCCACCAGCAACTCCTAAGAAACCCAAAACAGCAGGAGTGGGGAACCTTTTTCTGTCAAAATTTGTGACATCATTCACAAGCCAAGCAAAATAGCCAGCTTAAAATTAGCCATGGCACTTAACAACAACAACAACAATATTTGGCAAAAAACATTTAATTAACTCACCCCTAGTGCAGTGTGATACAACCTTGCTTGAAGAGGACTTAAAATATTTACTGATGAAGATCAAAAAGCACAGCCTTACATATGGATTACAACTCAATGTAAAGAAAACAAAAATCCTCACCACTGGACCAATAAACA